TTATCCATGTCTTCTAGGTTATAAATTAATTGGCATATAGCTTTTCATAGTATTCTCTTATAATCATTTGTATTTCTATGGTATCTGTCATAATGTATCCTCTTTCATTTCTGATTTTATTTATTTGAGTCTTCTCTCTTTTTTTCCTTAGTGAATCTAGCCAAGGGTTTGTCAATTTTATCTTTTCAAAGAACCAGCTCTTAGTTTCATCAATCCTTTTCATTGTTTTTTAGTCTCTATTTCATTTATGTCTGCTCTGATTTTTATTATTTCCCTCCTTCTATTGACTTTGAGCTTAATTTGTTCTTCTAGTTCTTTTAGGTATAGTGTTAGACTTGAGATTTTTCTTATTTTTTTGAGGTAGACCTGTATTATTGTATACTTCCCTCTTAGTACCACTTTTGCTGCATCCCACAAGTTTTGATATGTTGTGTTTTCATTTTCATTTGTCTCCAGGCATTTTTTGATTTCTCCTTTGATCTTCATTGTTCCAAGAGTTGTTCAGTAATTTGTTTAGTTTCAACATATTTGTGACTTTTCTAGCTTTCTGCTTGTAATTGATTTCTAGTTTCATAACATTGTGGTTGGAAAAGATAGTTGACATGATTTCAATCTTCTTAAATTTATTGAGACTTGTTTTGTTTCCCAGCATGTGGTCTATCTTTGAGAATGTTCCATGTGCACTTGAGAAGAATGTTAATTCCACTGCTTTTGGATAGAATGTCCTGTTTATATCTATTAAGTCCATCTGATCTAGTGTTTCATTTAAGGCCACTGTTTCCTTCTTGACTTTCTGTGTGGATAATCTATCCATTGATGTAGGTGGGGTGTTAAAGTCCCCTACTATTATTGTGTTGTGGTCAATTTCTCCCTTTAGGTCTGTTAATAGTTGCCTCATATACTTTGGTGTTCTTATGTTAGGTGAATAAATATTAATAACTGTTACGTTTTCTTGGTGGAATGCCCCTTTATCATTATGTAATGTCCATCTTTGTCTCTTATCTTTTTTGGCTTGAAGTTTATTTTGTCTGATATAGGTATGGCTACACTAACTTTCTTTTGGTTGCCATTTGCGTGAAGTATCATCTTCCATCCCTTCACTCTGAGCCTATGTTTGTCTTTAGAGCTGAGATGAGTCATCTGGTGGCAGCATATGGTTGGGTCTTGTTTTTTAATCCATCCAGCCACTTTGTGTCTTTTGATTGATGAATTCAATCCATTTACATTTAGAGCAAGTATTGGTATATAACAGCTTAATACTGCCATTTTATCATTTGTTTCCTGGTTGTTCTATATTTCCATTATTTCTTTTTCCTTGTATTTCCATCTGCCATTTCAGATTGGTGGTTTTCTGTGATGTTTTTCTAGTTTATATTTTTTTATGTTATATAACTCTGCTCTGATTTTTTGTTTTGTGGTTACCATGATGTTTACATAAAAGATCTCATAGATGGGATAGTCCTTTTTCTTCTGATAGCATCTTATCACCATTACCCTATGCAGTTACTATCCTTTTCCTCTTCTGCTTATATGCTTTTGTTGTCACAAATTATCCTTCTTTGTATTGTAAGTTTGTTACCTAATTGAAGTGGTTATAGTTATTTTTGATGCTTTCTTTCACTTTAGCCTCTATGTTATAATTGTTTACTAACCCATTCTGATATAGAGTTTCAGTTTTCTAATTCCATCTATCTATTTATCACCTCGTTCAAAGTATACCTTTTCCTTTTTGTCTCAGGTAGGAGGGCTCTTTTCAACATTTCTTGTAAGGCAAGTCTAATGGTGATGAAATCCCTCAGCTTTAGTTTGTATGGGAAAGCCCTCATTTCTCTTTCATATCTGAAGGATAACTTTGCTGCATAGAGCATTCTTGGAGGATAGTTCTTGTCTTTCAAAATTTTAAATATATCATTTGACTCTCTCCTAGCCTGTAGAGTCTCTGCTAAGAAATCCACTGACAGCCTGATGGGTGTTCCTTTGTAAGTTATTTTCTTCTCTCTGGCGACTCTTAATATTCTTTGTTATTGACTTTTGACAGTTTTAATATAATTTGGCTCAGAGATGGTCTTTTTCCATTGAGATAATTAGGAGTTTTATTAGCTTCATGTGCTTGTAGATCCAGTTCCTTCCCCAGATTTGAGGTGTTCTCAGCTATTATTTCTTTAAATAAGTTCTCTGCTCCTTTCTCCTTCTGGGATACCCATCATCCTTATGTTGCTTTTCCTAACTGAGTCAAATGTTTCTTGTAGAATTTCTTCATTTTTTAAAAATCTTAGTCCTCTGTCCTTTTCCACCTGAATCATTTCTAGACTTCTATCTTTGAGCTCGCTAATTCTCTCTTCCAAACAGTCTATTCTGTTTCCAATGCTATTTTCCATCTCATTGTGTTCTTCATCTCCAGAATTTCTAGGGGTTTTATTTTTCTTTTAGAGTTTTAATCCCGTTGGTGAAGTATTCCTTCTGTTCATTAATTGCATTCCTGAGCTCATTGAACTCTGAGTTTTCTTGTAACTCACTGAGTTTCTTCAGGGCAGCTGTTTTTAACTGTCTGTCAGTTAGATCACAATCTCCTGTGACCTCGTTTGGTTTCTGGACAGTTGTCATTTTCTTTCTGTTCTACCATGTTACTGTAGTTCTTCATGGTGTTCAATGAGTTGATCCTCTGCTGGTACATTTGTGGTAGTAAACACCTTTCTATTTGGGGTAAGCCTTTTATTATTATTTATAAGCCTAATTATTATTACAATTTCTTTTTTGATCCATATGACTTAAAAGGATGTTTTTTGTTTGTTTTGGGTTGTGTTGGTTTAGGCTTTCCAATTGGGTGAACATATCTTGGGAATTGGGGGGAGTTAGTTATCTTTTATTATGGATTTCTCAGTAATTTAATTGTGACATTGTCAAAGAAAATTATTTGTTTGATACCAATTTGCTTTGTGACCTAGTTCTTAGACAATATCTTTTTAGCCTTCATTGCTGAATAGGTGAGTTTTCAAACCATAGTGAAAACCCACCTATTCATAAGGAACACTAATTTCTCTGTTCACTACTTCATCTTGTTTTTTGTGCCTTCCTACTGGATTAAATTTTCTTATTCTCTAAAGGAATTCATTAGCTAAAACTTTGTTGTTAGTGGCTAATTAAATTTGTCTAAATGTGTCTTTATTTTACCCTCATATTTGAATGATTAATTCTTGGTTTAGGATTCTAAATTGGCAATTACTTTCTCTAACAATTTTGAACATATTTTTAACAAACTTTTATAGTTATTTTTTATTTGAAGATAATATGCCTTTTTCTGTTTTCATTTAAAATATTTTCTTTTATGGCTTTGCAGTTTTAACTAAGGTATTTGGCAGTGGATTGATTTTTGTTTCTCATCATTGGACTTATTAAGATTTCTGAATCTGAGGATTTATGTCTTTCATAAACTATGGCAAATTTCCATATGTTATTTCATAGAAAATTGCCTGTCCTCCATTTTCTGTACTTTCTTTCTAGAATGTATATGATATAGATAGAGAGATGCACAGAGAGATAGAAGTGGCTTTCTCAATTCCATCTTCCATGTCTTAGTTTGCCATCAAAACACAAATCCCTTGGCTATGAAGTCCAGAAACTGCCCCCCTCCCTGTATACTTTGGATTCAGTTTACCCACTTAGAATTCTGGTTTGCATTCACTGCTCAGGGTTCCACTTGGCCTTCAGTTGCTTTACTTTGGGTACCTGGAGATTTCTCATATATTCTTACTAGCATTCTAGTTACAAAAGAGACACAAATACATAAACACAGAAATAGATAAATACATAGAATGTGTAACATATCAGAAGTGCTATGAAGAAAAATTTAAGCAGGAAAGGAGGCCAAGGGCCAAGTTGGGGAGATTTTCATTTTCAATAGGGTGGTTATGGAAAGCCTCACTGAGAAAGTGACATTTGAGCAAACAACGAGCTGAAGGAGCAAGCAAGGAGGATATCTGGGAAAGGAATGTTCCAGGCAGAGAGAACTGCAAATGCAGAAACATTAGGCAAGAAGGAACTTGGTGTGTCCAGGAACTAGCAAGAGAGTGCTGTGATCAGAACAAGATGAACAAAGGGGAGAGGTGGCAAAATTGAGGTCAGAGGGTCTATGGAAAGGGAGAGTGGGAAGATCCCGTAGGGCCCATAGGCCATTGTATACAAGTTGAGTTTTTCTCTGACTGAGCTGAGGAGCCTTGGAAGGAATTTTGTGGCAGATGTGAGAAATATTTCAAGCAGAAGAAAATGGCAAAAACTGAAGTTGTCTGAGGTTAAGAGAAGACTTTTGAGATGGGAGAAATTATGGCATGTTTTTATCTTGGGCAGAATCCAGTAGAGAAGCAAAACTAGGTGAAAGAAATGTATGAAATAAAGGGGGAAACTGCTGTAGAGGTTACCTTGACTAGAAGAGAGGGAAAGAGATCTAGTGTGGAGTGCAGGGGCTGTTCATAGCCAGGACCTGGACAGTTCACCCATGGTTACAGGAGGGAAGGCGGGTGTATAAGGACAGATGCAGGTGGGTTGATGCCTGGGAGACATGTGAGAGTACAAGGAAGTTCTCTTCTATTGGTTTCTCTTTGAAATAGGGAGCAGTGTCAGCTAAGAATGACAATAAGGGAATAGGTATTGGGGGTTGGAGTAGAGTAAGAAAGGGAGGACTCACCCAGGGCTACAGGAGGCAACAGGAGGCAAGAAAGGTTCATATCCCAGCTCTGCCATGTATCAGCTGTGTGTGACTCTGGGTGAGTTTTTTAACCTCCCTAAACTTCAGTTTCCTCTTTTGTAAAATGAGGATAACAATAGTGCCAACATCACCGCTCTGTGGTGATGATGAAGAGAGACCATGTTAAAGCAATTTCAACCTTTACTAAATGGCAAGCACTTAGTATATGTTGGCTGTTAGCTGATATTATATATTAGGCACTCAATGACTTAGCAATGAATAGATAGGTTGTGATATTTTATCTCCACTCTCTTTTCAGGAGGTTTGTCCTCACCAAGCTTCGAGTCATCCCAAAAGGAGCATTTTCAGGATTTGGGGACCTGGAGAAAATGTATGTACCTGATAATGCTCAAATGGGCTATGGGCAGCAACCTCAGATCACATGTGGCATGATACTCTGTGCTTAGAAGCCACAGTGACACCCCAAGCAAACTTTTTGCACCTCCTCCCATTTTATTTCTTTACCATATTTCCTAAAGAGTAGTGTAGAATCTTTCAGAGTGTGGCCTTTGAAACGAGCATAAGGTCCGTCCACACAATCCTCACTTTTTATGTAAGGTGCTGCTCCCAAAGCACCCATGAGTGAAATTTTTATAAACCAAAGCTGATTTTCTCTGCTGACATTTATTCTTTTTAAGGAGTACTTTCTATTACTTCTGATTAATTTTTAATTGACAGGAGGATCTAACATTTGGGTTTTAGAGATTCTCTCTTGCTCTCAAGCCATGCTAACAGGTGGTAATTCATCCATAAACATTTAAAACTATTAGGAAAGTTTACAGTACTAAGGGAGATTTCCTTTGAAAAGAGAAGACTCCTTTGTTAATGCAAATATTCACCTCTTATTGGGCTAGTTTGATGTAGGGGTTTCCCCAAATAGGGTTTTCTCCAAGTAGGGCACAGTAGTAAAAACTAGCAAATTCTCCCATACTTAAGGTAACCCGCCCTCCCTTTGAAGGCTCTGGATCCCATCTCCCGACCTTTAAACTGTGTTCTTTACTACAATGGCAGCCAGAATTCAGGACTTAAATGCCAAGAAATACAGCAACAGATAAATGATTACACAAAAGGAAATGATTTTTCCTTTATAAGAAGAAAGTAACCCCCCAGGTTACGTGCACTTCTTCTTGAACCCACTCAATTTTTCCCCTTGGTTCTTTCACCTTCCTTTAAGAAGAGTATTTGCTGAGGTCTGTGGAAGCAAGAAAGAAATCCATTAAAGAAATACAAAACAGAGAGAGTGGCAATGTGTTTCAGCAATTAAGCCCACTGCTTAGAGGGTGGTCCGAATCCTGGGTCTGAGTGTTACTTTTCATGTAAACTTACTGTGTAATTGATTAAATCACCTCTGTCTCAGGGCCTTGGTTTCCTCATCTGTGTATTAAAAGAGGAGTTTTGAAAGGAGATGGCTTATGTGATCTCTGATTTCTCAGTGCAAGCATCCTCCAGTTGGATGAGAGCCCAGTTTAAGACCTTCTGTCTTTAGGGTTTGCCTTCTTGAAGACATTCAACACCCAGACAAATTGGGAGAGTCATCAGAGCAGAGCTCACCAAGGAATGAGGGAAGTAATAGAGCTGGAGAGCTTTTGGTTCAAGGTGTATTCCTGGACAGATTAGCCATTGCCCTGCCTGGAATTAACATAGACTAGATGACTAGTAGATATGTCTTGTTCCCCAAGAGCCCTGTAATTGCATAGAAATTATTCTAAAGACAGGAATGCCAGACATCACAGATAATCCACCTTAATGTAATTCAATCCAGCAAGTGCGACTGACCCCTCACTGGGTGCTCAGCCTCAGCCGAGACCTTCCTGTGGGGATATAAATGGTTGAGCTGAGCTGACGTAGCAGTAATCCCAGAGACAGATCAGCTAGCTCAGAAACTCAACTTCCCCAGACACAGCTTGTCCATTTCTACCTCATGTCCTTACTAATCAGCCCATATGGACACAGATGCTGAAAACAAAATTAATCTTATTTTTTCAACACTTTTTATGTCCTAAGACTTCAAAAACATTCCCTAGCAAAGGGCCCAGCACCAAATTGAACTTGAACAGACTGTTTGTACCATTCCGTCTCTCTGCTCACCTTCATCCATTGTCTCACTTTCTATTCTTGGTCACCTATGTGTTCTCATCTCCTTTCCAGATCTATCCTTCTTATTTATGTTCTTCCTCCAGCTTTCAACCAGTTTCCTGAACTTAATAAATATTGGCTTTCTCTTCAATATCCTACTCTCCACAAATCACAAAATCGTTTTCACTCATTCTGCACATGTGGCCAAGTTTCACCTATCCTTATTAAAAAGGAGAAAGAAAGCTTTCTGTGTAAATTCTGCCTTCTTTCCCTGCTACCTTCCTCTCTCTTCCTCATCACTACCACCCTTTTGAAACAGCAGCCTGCTTTCACCACCTCCCCATCCTTTTTGTTCAATCACTCCTCAGCCTGCCCACTTGTTATTTGGCCACAAATTCTCTAACACTATTAAATTATTCTATTAAAGGTCCCAACAGCGCCCTAACTTCCAGATCTAAAGACTTCTACTTTGTGTTCTCAGGACTTAACCTATATGTACTTTTTGATTTCCCGGACTGTTCATACCATTCTCCTCAATACTCTTTCCCTTTCTAAATTCAGTGACACCACACCTCCTGCCTGCCTCGTAACCTTCCAGACTACTCCATAACTGGTTCTGCGCATCTTTCTTCTTCCTTAGCTGCCCCTCAAAAGTTTAGTGCTCCATTTTTGGCCATTTTCTTTTTTTATAATTACATCTCCAAATCATTATTCATCAAATAATGTCATACTACCAGGGCTCCTAAACCTTCATCTACAACCCCCACCTCTCTTCTGAGACCACAATTCTTGTTTTGAAATGGAGAGACTTCTAGATATTTACACCTAAGGAAACTGCAAGTGCCTCAGATTCAATATAGTCGGACAAACTTGTTATCTTTATCCTTAAATTTCTCATCTTCCCGTATTGCCCAGTGAATAACATCACCATCTGTCCAGACGCCAAGCAAGGAAATTCAGTCCCCTTGACTCCCGCGCCTTCTCTCTCCCTTATACGCAGGTGTTCTTCCAGTCCTGTTGACTCCCCTTCAAAGCTATGTCCGGAATCCAGCTCTCATCTCACTCCTGTTGCTATTAGGTTCAAAGTCACTTGCACAGCCTGCTGCATGAGGCTGCCACGCCTGTCTCAGCTGCAATCTCCCTGTCACTCTGCTGCCAGACCTGCACTGCAGAAGAACCTCTCGGGATGCTCAGTGCTATAGGTTGCAATCTTAAGTCCCTGGCACAAAAATCAAAACCTTTTCTCTCCCACCATATGCAGCGTACCCCACACTTTCACCAGGTAGAAAAATTTGCCTTCTCCCAAGCACTATCATGACCAGACGTTGTATTGCTTATTTAGAATGTGACGGCTGATTCTTTGGACAATGGTTGGCACATAGATGGATAAAAAAAATAGTTGCAAGTGAATGGATGAATAAAGAAATGACCAAAATATCCTTTCACGCTGGTCTTATGCAGGTGCTATCCCTCTGCCTAAAATTCCACTTGGTAGAAACCTGCTCGTCCTCCAGGAGTCACATCAAATGTTTACTCCTCTGTAGAGTCTTTCCAGAACTCTGCCAGTGCTGCCAAACCATAATCTGTGTTCACAGTATTAATAGCATGTTTATCAGATTGTATTCAGAATTTACAGGTTTTTCCAGATCCCCCGATAATTCTTTAAGGGCAAGGTCAGACTGTGACTTAACTTTGTATTAAAGTACAACACCAAGTCCTGTTATTTTAATCTCCTGGCTAGGCCTCTAATCTGTCCACGTATCTCCTCCAGCTACCACAATCTGTCCCTGGATAACTGCCACAGTCTACTACTCATGCTGCCCCTCCACTAGCAGGCTGTCTCCTCACCCCTATCCATTCTCTATATAGCAACCAGAGGGTTATTTTCTAAATTCATCTGATTGCACCACCTTCCACACCTTTCCTGCCCCCCTACACACACACATTCCATGCCTTACACTGCTCTTAACACAAAAAGGAAAGTAGGCCTCTCCCATTCTCTCCTTTGCCCTACCAGCCCTTTTCCAGGTCATAAAGTTACTGCCTTATGCTGCCCAGCATGGGCCTTGCTTTGCGCTTGCTGTTCCTTCTGACTAGAACGTCCTTTCTGCTCTGTCCTTTTAATTTATTTGGCTCCTCCTAATCCTTCAGATTCCCACACCAGTGTCACTTGCCCAGGAAAGCCTTCTGACCTCCCCAATTAGAGTAAAAAACCCTACAACTTACACTCTCATATCACCACTAGTTTCTATGTGGTGACTATCATTTTAGCAATTTTACAGCTGTTTATGTGATAAATGAATAATTTCTAACTCCCCCATCGAACAGTAAGTTCCATGAGCACAAGGCGTATTTGCTTCTACTCAGTATTGGACCTACGACGCCTCACACAGATTCAGGTGTGTACAATAAATAACTGATAAATTCATGAATAAAAATGAATGAACAAAATAATTAGTTGGAGAGACAAAATATCCAGATATAAAGAGAAAATACCAAATAATATGAATGATGATGATAAATAATGTAGGAGTTGTTAGGCATATGAACACTGGCTGAGAATCCACTATGATCTAGGCACTTACATAGTTAGAGTTTAAAATATGACCTAGGACAAAAATGCACAAGATAATATGTGCAAAATAAGTGATACAAACACTGTATTTGTTAGGACTCTTTCCATTGTGAGAAGCAAAAGAAAATAAACCTCAAATAGGCTTAAGGAAAGCAAGGGAATTTAATGGTTCATTTAAGTTGACGGTCAGAGAAGAAGAATGGCTTTAGAAACAGCTCTATTCAGGTTCAATGTCCTTAGAACTTGGCCTCTCTCCCTCTCTCAGGTCTCCCTTGCATTAAGTTAGTTTCAGTCCTCAGCCCCACCTCTGGCAGCAGGATGACAGCAGCGGTCCTGCCTTCACTTCTTCTTGGATTCGATTCAGAAGGAAAGAGCTGACCTTTTTCTTGCTCGATCCTATAAAAGTGTTAAGATTTAGCCTGACTTGCTTAGATCACACAACCATCCCTGGACCAACTACTGCAGATAAGGGAATGAGATGCTCGAATTGGCTGTGGCATGGGTAATGGGCTCTATTCTCAGAGCTGGAAACACCTACGCCAATGATGTGGACTTGGAGTGGCGGAGAGAAATTCACAATCAAAAACTGAGGCCGTTTCTGGAAAAAAAAAAAAGTGGAAACTAGATGCTGATAGTTGGGCAGAGAACTAATGTCTATAAAGAAAATTCGTTCTGTTCTC